TAGCTACACCACAGTGACGTGTCTACTATATAGCTACACCACAGTGATGTAGTGACGTGTCTACTATATAGCTACACCACAGTGATGTGTCTACTATATAGTTACACCACAGTGACGTGTCTACTATATAGCTACACCACAATGACGTAGTGACGTGTCTACTATATAGCTACACCACAGTGACGTAGTGACGTGTCTACTATATAGCTACACCACAGTGACGTAATGACGTGTCTACTATATAGCTACACCACAATGACGTGTCTACTATATAGCTACACCACAGTGACGTGTCTACTATATAGCTACACCACAGTGACGTGTCTACTATATAGCTACACCACAGTGACGTGTCTACTATAGAGCTACACCACAATGACGTGCCCTTTGTCAACATTGATCTATTTATAGAATGTCTTACCTACTTTTCTGTCCTGCTCTGCAGCCACGAAATATGACGTCAGTGGGCGTGGATATGGAGGCTATGACGTCACTGGCGCCCAACATGAGCTTCCGACCTGCCTACAGTGGCGTGGGCGTGACGCACAGCTCCGTGGACAACACGTCTGTGACGTCACAAGAGTGTGAGTGGATGCTGGGCGAGATGTCCGGCCCGCCTCCTCACTACAGCGACCCCGCCCGCATCACCATCTCCGCCATCCTCATCTGTGTTCCCATACTGACCGTGGTAGGGAACTGGGTGGTCATCCTGGCGGTCATCACGCACCGGAAGCTGCGGACCATCACCAACGCGTTCGTGGTGTCGCTGGCTGTGGCGGACATGAGCGTGGCGCTGTTCGTCATGCCGTTCTCCATCTACCAGCAGCTCAACAACAAGCTGTGGGCCCTGGGGGACACTCTGTGCAAGCTCTCCTCTAGCCTGGACGTCATGATGTGTACTGTGTCCATCTTCCACCTGTCCTGTCTAGCCGTTGACCGCTACCTTGCCATCTGCCGGCCCTTCCTTCACGAGCGGCTCACCGTCCGCTGGGTGGCCATCATGCTGGTCTTCTGCTGGGCCACGCCTGTCTTCATCTCCTTCCTGCCCATCCTCAACGGCTGGAACCACCTCGGGATAGAGCAGCTGGTGGCCTGTGCCTTCCCGCCCGGCGCGCCTGTGTGCGCGTTCATCGTCAACACGGCATTCGCCGTCATCTGCTCGCTCATCGCCTTCTACATCCCTGTGCTGTTCATGGGCGTGTGTAACGTGAAGATTTACATGGCCGCTGTACAGCAGGCGCACCAGATCAGGACGTTGGAAAAGGCGGGAAACCACAACCACTACAGCCATTGCAAGAGAAAGAGCAAGTTCAAGCAAGAGTCGAAGGCGGCCAAGACTTTGGGGATCATTATGGGCTGTTTCTCTGTCTGCTGGTTCCCCTTCTTCATCATGAACGTCATCGACCCACTCATCAACTACCGCATCCCGTACAACCCCTGGCAGATCGCGCTATGGCTAGGCTACATCAACTCCATGATGAACCCTCTCCTCTACTACTACTTCAACCGGAACTTCTACCACGCGTTCCGACGCCTGCTTTCCTGCAAGGTGTGTAAGGGCGTGCGGGACTACGAGGAAGACACTCTCAACACGCAGATGTCCGAATGACTAGTGGCGTCCCAGCGAGAGGGCAACAGGCGGGTGTCTGGCCACAGTGCGGCCAGCGGCCATAGCGCGGCCACTAGCGGCCAGTGGCATGTGAGCCGGCTCACTGGACAGAGCAGCCTGTTGGAGCCTCGCGTGGGGCGCAGCGTGAGCGCAGACTTCCGGTACGGAGTCACGGCTGGTGGACTCACAGCCAGCACCACACAGGAGACCATCCTCAGCCCGGACGGGGGCGGGGCTAGTGCAGCGTCCTGACAGGAGCTCCGCCCTCGGGCGTTAGACATCCTAGGCTCCTCCCACGACTTCCCCTTGTGACGTCACGCCACGTGTGGCACTCACAGGGACATGAGCACGTGAACACTCCCCTCACGTCGGGACAGGTCACGCCACTTCACGCCAGTGATACCTGCACAGTTTCGGTTATCGCCACGTCATCGAAATCTCAACCAATCAGGGAGCGGTATACAACCATGAAAGCTTGCCTCTGATTGGCTACATGCCATCCCCGTGACTTGCCCTCTCTGCAGGGTATAGCGACAGACGCACCGCGGTCAACAATGACAGCCAACAATGACAGCCAACAATGACAGCCAACAATGACAGCCAACAATGACAGCCAACAATGACAGTCAACAATGGCGGTCAGTTCTGTGGGAGCACCACACCCTTGATCTCAATCACACTGGACGTCCGAGTT